AAATGGAATTAAACAATATGTGGTCTATTCCTTTGCTTTACTGCCTCTTTTACTTAGTATAATGTTTTCATGGTTCATTCATGTTATAGCATGTATCAGTATTTATTGCAGAAGAATATTCCATTATATGGATGGACCACATTTTGTTTACCCATCAGTCGATATTTTGGTTATTTTTACTTTTTGGCCATGTACATGAACATTCATTCATGTACAGAATTTTTTTCTGGGCATCTTTTCGAATCACATGGTAGCTTGTGTTTAGCCTTTGAGGAACTGTCAGACTGTTTTCCAAAACAGCTATGCCATTTTACACTCCTACCAGCAGTGTATGAGGGTTCCAGTTTCTCTACATCTCCAATAAGCACTTAACCTTTTTTAAAAAATTGTAGCCATACTAGTGGCTGTGAAGTGGTATTTCACTAGTTTTGATTTACATTTTCCTTGTGGCTAGTGATATTGAGCATCTTTTCATGAGTTAGTTTAATGATAAGGAGCATTTTTTCAAGAGTTTGTTAGACATTAGCTTATGTTCTTTAGAGGCATTCACTAATTGTGACAGTAATTTTCACAGGGAGTACAGTCAAGGACCTGGATAGTTGAAGTTGCCCACTCATCTTATTTGTTGACAGATTAGCATGATTATTTGTTGGAAACATACATGTTAATGATTTCTGAGCACTCTAGGCTTAACATGGCTGCCTCTAAAACTTCTGATGCTTACTTAGTTCAGTGGACTATTTCTAAAGACATTTGTGGAGCCCTTACTGGTGTGGAGCCCTTACTCAGTGGGTTGGGTGTTGTCCTGCAGAGAGGTCACCAGTTTGATTCCCAGTCGGGGCACATGCCTGGGTTACAGACCAGGTTCCCAGTTGGGAGCATTTTGGGAGACAACTGATCCGATGTTTCTCTCCCTCTCTTTTCCCCCTCCCTTTCTCTCTCTCTAAAAATAAATAAATAAAATCTTGAAAAGATACAGACATTTGTGGAAAACTTAGGGTCAACCGAGTATTTGTAGGAGTAGTAAGGACTTTAGAATGGGGCAGGCTTAGATTTGATCAGCCTGGCCATTTACTACTAGCTGTGTGATCTTGGGATGTTAATTGAGTCCTCCAAATCCTATCTCTGCATTTGAAAAATTTCTGACATAGAAGCACTAGTAGATGTCAGCTAGTTCTTAATCCTTTTCTAGGCAGAGCTGTGACCAATATGCTTAGAAACGGACTGTTGTTCTCTGTTTTTAAATGTTCTCCAGGGTGGGGGATATATTCTTTCCTATTACTTCTGTCTATATCTCTCTCTGTTGGTTTTCATAATTATTTTCTTATTATAATCAACAAAAGACTGAGAGATATAACAAGCTAGTTTTCTTTTATGTTTCTTAGAAAGTGGGTTGGATTTTGCTATTCACAGATGTAAAACATAACTGAAATTTTGGGGCCTTGATATGAAACTAACTTTATATTTGAAAGTGCCTCCTTTTTCTTTTCAGTAATCTGTGGTATATATAATTGATTTGAAAAGAAAGAGATGTCAATTTGCTCTACTTATTTATGTACTCTTTGGCTGATTCTTGTATGTGTCCTGACTGGGGATTAAACTTGCAGCCTTGGTGTATGGGGATGACGCTCTAACCAGCTGAGCTACCTGGCCAGGGTAAATATTCTCTGGTATTTAGTATCCTATTGGTAGCATGATCTCACGTGGTCCTCAATCCTACTGTGATTAATTTAAATAATTATTCAGTTCTCATTTCTGATTTTTATACCCTATATTCAGGTGTTATCTATCAAAAATAAATCCCTCATTGTTGTCTCTACTTAATCCTTAATACCAAGTATTTAATATTTTCTGAATTATTTTTTAACCTATTCACTTATAATCTGACTTCCATTCCACCACTCTTTAGAAAATTTTTATCACCAAACATGTATTTGTAGGAAAATTGTAAAACAAACAAACAAACAAACCCTTTTAGTCCTCATCCCTCTGGTCCTGTAGCATTAGATACTGGCAATCACCCCATCCTTGATTATTCTTTCTTGGTTTTTCGGTGTATCTCTGTCACTGCTTCTCTCCTCCTTCCCCCGTCCCCTGCTTATTGATTGCTTTTCCATCTCTGCCTTCTAATTTTGGCAATTCCCTCAGGCTCAGTCCTTAGCACTCTGCTCTTCTTTCTTGCCCCCTAACCCAGAAAACCCAACATTTCCCATGTCTCTAGCTAGCACCTCTATGCGTACGGCTTCTAAACTTAAGTTCTCAGCTGACCAAAATTGAATTCTGATATTTCCAGCTGCTGCAAGAACGTTCCATTAGTAGCTCCTTTGTTGCTGTTTTAAATTCAACATATTTAAACTTGAATTAGTCAAATCCATTCCCTTTGCAACCTTTATGACTGTTTATTTCTGTTAGTGGTGCACTGTGGTTGTTCCAGCTGCAAAGTTTGAAACCTTGGACCCATTTGAGGAAGGGTCTTGAAATCTTGGAGCCACTGGTGTGCTGGAGCCAGCTTACAGGGGCTCACAAGAGCCAAATATTAAATTTTTGGTAATTTTGTGAGCTCATTGCTAAGTATAGCCATTATTAAAAATTAAATATATAAACTTGCAGTTAAATACATTCTATTTAAAATAAAGGTACATACTCAAAACTCATCACTTCATAATTATTTTACTAAGTGTTATTATTGTCTGTGTTCTTAACCTCAATTATGTCTATTATATCTCTATGATGAAAATACTATATAATGGTGTGCTACTTATACTTTTCTTCCCAACATTGCATTTGGCAGTGTTATATTAGAAGCATGAAATTAGTCATGGTGGGAGAATTTACACCCTGAAAATCAACAAATGCTTCAAGTCTGAGCTGGGTGTATTATTTCTTTTCATTGTTTAGACTTCAAGTGGTAGAGAAAAATGTAAATGTTGCAGATTAAAAAAGTGTGTCATGTTTATAGTGAGTACATTGTAAATAGCACAAAAATTGAAGAAATTCCTTTCTAATGTCCTTTTTGAAAACTATTATACAAGTCATCATGAGCCATTCTCTTCAACTGGCTAATCTACCTGTTGTATACCTTATTCTGTGACATACACATACAAACATGCATACCTTGTGTATTTCTACCTCTATACCTTGTCTTACATGGTTTTCCCATCTTCTTTCTTTCTTTCTGTTAAAACATTTTGTAGTTTTTCAACTCCTCTGTCTTTCAGGAAGTCTTCCCTGATATTTCAGTCTTTATCTTTTCTGATTCCCATTCTATTTTGAATGCTAGATATTTTACAATTGGAAAGCACTTTATAGTTCAGTTTTCCACACAAATGTAGAAATATCAATATCCCAGTCTCGGCTTGGAAAATTCCAGTGGCTAGAAATTTACTGCTTCTTAAACTAGCCCTTTTTATTATCTAAAAAATAATAGTAATAATTATTATTAATTATTATTTATTATTTTAGTGGCTTTAAACAACACAAAGTTATCGTAAAGTTCTGGAGGGCAGAAGTTCAAAATAGGTCTTATATGTGGAATCTAATGAACAAACTGAACTAACAAGCAAAACAGAAACAGACTCATAGATGGGGTGCAGATGACAGCTAGTGGGAGGGGTTGGGGGTGGAGGGATTAAGCAAAAAGGAAAAAGGACTCATGGACATGGACAACAATGTGATGATTGCTGGTGGGAGGGGGGTAAAAGGGGACTAAATGTTAATAGAAAAAAATGCAATATAGATTAAATTAAAAAAAACAAAATAGGTCTTAATGGGGTTAAAATCAAGGTGGGAGAAGAGCTGCATTCTTCCTGGATGCTCTAGGAGAGAATGTTTCTTGCCTTTTCCAGCTCCTAGAGGCTGCCTGCATTCCTTGGCTCATGGCCTCCTTTATGCTTCACAGCAGCAACATCATCGGTCTGACCTGTGTCTCCATCGTCTTATCTCCTTATATTGTGTAGAAAATTACTTATGTTGCAAATGAATCTTCTTCCTTTTAATCTCTACTAATCTTCTGATTCTGTGTTGTGAGCATCACTAAGTGAGGTTATCTCTAGACTTGGAATGAGTCAGAAGACCAGCTGCCACTTACAAAGCAATGTGACCTTAAGATTTCAGAGCCTCGGTTTCTCCTACAGAGTGTGGGTCATTAAAAAAACCTCACAGGGCAGTTATTTGGCTTTAGTAAATAAAAGGAGATTATGGTTGATTATAAAGTATAATGGTTAACGGCAAAGACTAAAATTCAAAAAGACCAAACTGAGGCCAGCTTTTTCACTTGCAACATTGGGCAAGTTGTTAACCCCTGTGCCTCATTATCTCATGTACAAAATAGGAATAATAAAACCTGCTTTATAGATGTGAAGGATAGATGAGATAACATGTAAGACATTTTGCATAGTATTTGACTTTAACCATATATTTTTCCAAAGTGAGATTTGTTTTTCTACTGTTTCTGTTATAAAATTGGAATTATTTTTCCCAAAAGGAAAATAATTTTCAAATTCACTATTAGAAATATTTGGTGAGAGAGGGGGTAAATTAGATGCACACCCTATGAAACACTGGATACCTAGCATTCTATTTTCCTTTGTAGCACTCTCTGGAAGGCCTTTCTATGTCTGGCTGGACTCATCTGTCCATCATTGGCCATCCTATCACATTTTGGTCCATAATAATTCCTGAGGTGTTTCAGGATGATTAAGGACCATCCTCTCCCTCCCCCACATCTTGTTGTCCAAACTTTCTAGAATATTTTTGGCTAGAGTGTGTAATAAATCTGGCTTCAATTAAAAAGCGTGCGTGCATTCTCTCTCTCTCTCTCTCTCTCTCTCACTCTCACTCTTCTGTTAAGTGTTTGTGTTGTACTCCAACCTGAAAATTCTTGAATTTTATTATTGTTTCCAGTTTCAAATTCTTAAATTTGTGTTTACAGAGATTCTTGTGTAGATAATAAAATAATTCAAGATTAAATAAAAAGCCATCTCATTTACTTCCACGCACAGGTTCGCAAGCACATCAATGATCTTTATGAAGATCTGCGGGATGGCCATAACCTGATCTCTCTGCTGGAGGTCCTCTCGGGCATCAAACTGGTGAGCTGCTTTTCTCCTAATGAGTGACCCCACAGGTGTGGCCCATGAATGACGTATTGGTCCATCTTGCTGAGTGGTAGGGCAGTGTCCATCACTGTGTGCTCTGTTACGCGGGAGGAAGAAGTAGAAGAGATTATTATAGGTGGACTTTATTTCTAACTCACACTTACAGTTTACATATGATGTGATTTTATCTTAATTCAAATTGATGTGTCATATATTCTCATTTCTTGATAGATTCGAGCGAGTATCAGTTTTATTCCTTTCATAACTACATGTTTTCTCCTTACTTGTTTTTTATCCATTTATAGATACGAGAAGTATTTTAGGAATAGTAGATTCACATTTAAAGTTTTGAATAAGGTGTATTTTTCTTTCTAGAATATATAGACTTTTTCCTATTTTCTCACTTATTGTGAATTATTTAACTTTCTGTATTGTATTCAGCTCAGGTCCTGAAGTTTACATTTAAAAGCCCAGGTGTTTAGAGTTTTGTTTTGTTTTGTTTTTTTCAATTCCCCTCACTTCCTCCTTTCTATCTATGATTTACAGAGAGTTACAGGTTTGGAGAAATGCCAATGTTAATGTCTGAGCACTGCCCTCGATGCAGTACATTTGGGCTCCTTGGACAATTAACTATGACTGCCTCCTCCCAAAATGTATTAAACAGTGCTTGTGGGAAACACCTACATATCTGAGAGAAAATATTGTGTGAGCCTCTTGGCTTGTCAGATAATAGCTTTTATACTTGCTTTGTTTGCAGGATCAAAACAACCTTACTTGGCGGGCCCATTGTTTCATATATTTGAGCCTAATGGAAGCAGATGATCCTGTGAAGTTTCTGTTCTATCTCTAGCATCATAGACAACATAATTTTCATTTAGAAAAGTCTAGTGGTGAACTCTGGAAACATCTACAAGGAAAGAGACCTGAGCGGGGTGCACAGCTTGAGTAGTCTGGGAAGCTCAGCCCACTCACTGCCATTGGTGAATTCTTAGTCATTGTTTATTGTGTTTCAGGAACAGAATTTGGCACATTTGATTTTACTCCCTAAGTTACAATATTCAGCTTCTTTTAGGATTGGGTTTGGCTTCTCTTGGTCCCTTTGTTTTGGTTTCACATCTTTTTTGCCTTGCAATAGAATTAATTATATGATTTATAATGACCTAAAATTGATAGATGCTGTTATCAGCACAAATAGCACAGGGTGAATTCTATTTTTTTCTCTGGCCCTCATTTATAAATTGCATATGTATTCAGAATTTCACCTTCACTGTGCTGGATTTGACTCTTCAGTGCTGACCAAGTTATATTTTGTTCAACTTTCCTGGAATATTTGGTAAACTTACAGTGATTTTATATTGGAAAGTGACATTTTTGGTGACATTGCTTACAAAACAGGTTAAAACCACTCCAATCTAATTTCTTTTCCGAGCCTTTGAAAACCTTACTTACAGGTGTTTTGGAGATATTCATAAGATATCATTTTCATTGAAAACAATTCAAATATCTCTTTCACGGTTATTCACAATATCTCTTTCTCCTTTCGTTGATTCAGAAAAGCAGAGAGGGTGGGTGGCCATGGAGAATTGAAGATGTGTTTCAACAATAAGATGTGTTCAATATAACCATCTCTTTTGGTCTTTTGCATCTTTTTGGATGTGGGAGGGTATTTTCATCTTTTTGTTGTGGTTGTTTGTTTAATGTTGCATTCATTTCCTTTTCATTTTTGTGTTGTGCATTTCATGTTACTCTGTCATGTCTTTGCCTTGGTTGGTGGCCAAAGGAGCCAGCAGGGCTGAAGACCCTCCGTCTGGTGAGCATGCCCTCCTGGCGCCATACAAACAGCGAGGAGCAGGAGGAGGAAGATGATGATGATGTAGTAGGTCCTCCTGGCAATGCCAGCATCTCACCTGGCAGGCACTGTGGGACCACCAGGGAGTCTGAGGTTTTCCAGGTCTCCAGTAGCTCAGTTACCAATTGCTTTCTTCCCTGTCCACCTGGGACTTTGGGTCCCAAAGACAGTGGTTGAAACTAATTGCACCCCTGGCCACTGTTAGATGATCCTGAAGTAGGAATTATTTTGCTTATCTGAGAATGGTTGGGCCAGAAAGAATAACGGTGTTTGGAGGTATCAAGTCCTTTTGAGACCTGGAGACCCATAGCTTTCTGGTGGCCTTGTTGTGTTCCCTGCCATAGATTGCAGAATTGTGGAAAATTTAATTGATAGCATGACAGTTAATTGCTTACCCAGACTAACTGGTAGGTACTCTCTCTCCACCTCTCTAGCCTGTAGGTTCTCACCATACACCCTGCCGTTTGTTTTCAAAATAGCCTGTTGTTTGCAAACCACTCACTGCATGGAGATCCTCTGCCTTGGTCAGTGGTATCTCTAGTTGTTGTAGAGGACAGAGATTTAGCTTGCATGCTCTTAAGACTACTTATTTTTGGTGGGGAGTACATACTTGTAAATTTTAGGGTGTGTGGAAGGGGCATTTCTTGCTTGCGGGCCCTAAGTTACAGCTCATGATCTTTCTGCAGAAATAAGGATTAGGCAATATTCCCATTCCCTGTCCTCTTAAAGGCACCTTTTCACTTCATAGATATCCCTTCCCATTGCCTTAGAATATTCAGTTTCACAGACTCTGTCACACTTTAAGCCACATTTACAATAATTTATCTGGAATGACTGAGAAGAAGTTCTTGCAAAAAAGATTTTTTCCTAAACCTTTGACTTAAGAAGTTGCCCGGAGAGACCTCAACATCCTTGTAGATTATCCTAGTTTGGGAGTGTTGCTTGGAAGTGTTGGGGGTCACCCAGAGAAATGCCTCTACCCTTATCTTTCCACCACCTGGGTCACTTTTTGCTCATTTCAACCTGAGGGAAGGTTTCCTTTGCAGGTGCCCACAACAGAGCCACTTTATATTCTATCAGCCTTTAATTAGTACCAAATTGGCATTTACAAATGAACTGGGGATATCTAGTGAGAGTGATGTTTTAGTCCTAATCTTCGGAAAATAATAGCAACATTGGAAAGTGAGTAGGAGAAACTGTTCCAGAAGTAGATAGCCAACCCTGCATGTACTTGTTGGGCAAACAGACTTCATATACTTCTGGATGGATAGTCGTTGAACTATGGTTAGGGCACCAGAGACACCAGATGGAGATGGGCTCCTCTTCTGTGGCTTGTGTGACATCCAGGATTAAAAGACTGGCAGAAAATACCTTTTGGGGGGTTATCATGTTGAACATCCCTACATCATCAAGGTTGTGTTAGCTCTGGGTGTTTCATATGGGAGTAAAGGGTAGCTTTCCTTCTTGGAAGATCAGTTTCTTCCTGATATTTGAGTCTTATTTTGGATTTTTCAAGACTTGTTTATTGAGCATATGTAACTCCCCATTCTGTAGTTTAAAATGAGCTACCACTGGCTTCTTTTGTCAGGTTTGCAATAAGGTTGGCTCTGTCCATTATTGTGCAATACGCAATTAGGACTTTCCACCCTTCCTTTATAATAGCATTTAACTTTGATTTTAGGAGCCATTGAGCCGGAGTCCTCATCCCCACTAATCTTACATCAATAATCAGGTTCTGCCACGTGGGACTACAGAAGAACCTGTAGAGAAGCGGTGGCACTGGTCAGCATTAGCAGTCAAAATGCACTATGTGTTCACGGGAATTTTAGCGGTAATCTAGGCACTTTGGAACCTAGGAGAGCATGGTGACACAGGCTGGTCCTGCCACTGAAGGGTGCTTTACAGTAATGCTCCCGCGCCTGGCTTCAGCCATGAGGAATTTGCTGCGGTCTTCTAGTCTCTGAAATGAAAGTGGAAAGTACTCTGCATGGGTCAAGAGTGTAGCTAAAATTAACACCCCCTTTATTTGTTTGCAGCCCCGGGAAAAGGGCAGGATGCGATTTCATAGGCTGCAGAATGTGCAGATTGCCCTGGACTTCCTAAAGCGGAGAAAGGTAAGAATATCCCATGGGTTCCCCATTCAGCCAGGAAATGTTGGCATTGGTTCCTATTTAGGGAAGTTCTCAGTGCCCCAAGCCCTCAGTAATTGCTAAATCTGACTGACCCAGTTCTAAGTCTTACTTGCTAGTGAGCAATTGTATTATGGCTGGACAAATCATTTGGTAGTTCTCACATAGAGCTTGTGGCCTTCCTGAGAGGGAGACTGTTGACAGAGAAGAGTTAGGTGCTAAAGATTAAATTGTATGGACCCACCTTAGATGGAAGTCAAAACGAAGGTGAAAGGTAAACCAACAAAGAAGATGGAAGAGGTACAGCACCCAGGGCAAGGGGAAACCAGGGTACCATGTTATCATGAAAATCAGATGAGGGGATGATGCCACTTCAGGTATGAGGAAAGGATCTTAGCTGTTAAGTATTGGTGGCTTAAGAGAACAGTTTTAATAGAGCAGAAAAGTGTTCAGAGTATATTGGACCTGGATATAGGAAGGGAAAAATTAAGTTTATTACTCTCTACATAAGGAAGGAAGACAGCAACGCATTTTTGGATATAAGAGGAGAAGCCAGTGAAAAGAAGAAGACTGAGAATGAGAGGAAAGATAATTAAGAGCCATAGTATGTTAGACCTAGAAATACCTTAGAGATATAGTAGCCCAGTTTTTTCATTTATAGCTAAGGAAACTGAGATCTAGATAGGTGAAATGACCTGCTTCAAATCATAAAACAAGTTAGAGCAAAGCTGGGACTCTAACCCAGGTGTCCTGACATGTAGTTTAATGCTTCTTCTTTTATTCATGCTGTTTTCTAGGCACCATCCTTCTGCCTATTGCTTCCTAATTGATGGAACCAAGTCCAGGGATTAAGGGATTAGATCCAGAACACAGCCTGTGTAGTTCTTTGAGAAAGAAAAGAGAAATACTTCTCTTCTGAGATACAGGGGAAGGAAGGATGGATAAAGATACAGAGGTGGTTTGTGGTGGAGAGGAAGATGGATGAGGGTGTCAGAGAGTTCATCTGCTTAGAGAGAGCTGTATGGAAAAGATTTGGAATAGTTGCAGTTGCTAGGCAACAGGAGGGGTCAAGAGAACATTAAATGGTATGCTTATTTTTGGAGTTAGTTCATTTTTTGTCACTCATATCAGCGATTCGCATTAACTTGGGACATTTTCTTTCTGTGTGCTCCCATAGCAGTTCACTTCTAATACAAAACTTATGTTACTGCTTCTCCATTTATTCTAATGTACTATAGGCCCTGTGAGGATGGGGAACATGATCTCACTTAACAGTTTTATCTTCATCACTTGTTATTACAAATGGTCCACAATCAGCACTTCATAAACACTTGTTGAAATAAATTGATAAATGAAAAGTAGTAGGAGAATTGGAGGCTGAAGTGTGTAGGGTAAGCAGCACTAAAATGTCTGTGTGTAGAGTTAGAGGAAACCAGAGTGGGTTTTAATGAGCAAGGTTAATTGAGAGGAATTGATTGGCTAGAAATCCAAATAAGGGCCAAGAATAGATTTGGTTACTTATAGTAGAATGAAAATGTGAGCAGACAAGAACAATGGACTCAGAGAAGGGCAGAGAGAACTCTAGAACAGTTCTTCATAATGGTAGAGTCCAAGTCATAGCTGTGCAGCTGTCCAAAGCAGAGTAAAAATGAAAGTCATCATAGTTGAGCAGGCAGATGAATTGTGCAGATAGGGTGATGTTTGAGTTGTTGAGATGAGTGCTAAAATGGCCAAGGAAGATGGTAGATAGAAAGGCAGTTTCTCCTACCCGTAGAAGGTAACTGAGATACAGAAAAGGGAAAGAACTTGCGCAGGCATCTTAGTCAGTAAGGCTGCTGTAACAAAAATACCATAGACTGGGTGACTTATAAACAACAGAAATTTATTTCTCACATTTCTGGAGGCTGGAAAGCCTAAGATCAAGGCAGATTCAGTGTCTGGTGAGGTCCTGGTTCAGAGACAGCTATCTTTTAGCTATGTCCTAACATGACAGAAGGGGCAAGGGAGCTCTCCTGAGGTCTCGTATAAGGGCACTAATCCCATTCCTGAGAGCTCCACCCTTATAACTTAATCATACCCAAATGCCCCACCTCCAGTACCATCAGATTGGGTATTAGGATTTAACATGTGCGTTTTGGAGGGACACAAGCATTCAGTCTATAGTTCTGGTCACCGTTAGTATAAGGAAAAGTGAGGCTTCTGTTTGAGGTCACTGGAGTTTGCTGGAGACACACAAATTTCTGTTCAGTTGAATACATAAGGAGGGCAGGTCAGGGACATTTGCCACAGTTGAACAGGAGCTCTAGGAGGGTTTGTCAGAAGAGACTCACAAGGGTTGAGGTGGAAGTAGGCTGCTTTTCCTGGGCCACTGTTGGTTTCAGCACTAGAAGTCCCATGTCCCAGGAAACCCTTCAGTTTCCAGCTCACTGGGACAGTTGGTCACCCTAGCAGGGGACAGCCTGTGTGTCTGTACACATTGTATTGTTGGAGTGAGATTTTAGGAGTAGAGCAGATGCTGAGGGAGTCATGAGCAGGTGGGGATAGGGTATGTGTGATAAAGAAGATGGAAGTGGAGGGGAAACGGAGGCTGGAGGAGGCCAAAGACTTATGAGAGAGGAGAGGCAACCCTCCCAACCTTAAAAAGAGAAAAATGTCAGGGCTGTGATGACTTCATAACAAAGCAACTCACAGTACCATGTGCCTGCAAGGTTGCTTTGTTGCTGGGAATGTAAAATGGTACAGTCACTCTGGAGGATAGTTTGGCAGTTTCTTATAAAGCTAAGCATATAACATATGACCCAGCAATCTCACTCCTAGGAATTTACCCTAGAGAAATGAAAACATATGCTCACAAAAAAGCCCGTACACAAATGTAGGAGTGTTATGCATAATTGCTTCAAGAAATAACCCCAATGTTCTTCAATGGGTGAATGGTTAAACACAGTATTTTGTATCGATATAGTGAAAGATTGCTCAGCAATAAAAGTAGCAAACTATTGATACATGCAATGACTTGGATGGGAATATCAATGGCATTGTGTTGAATGGGGAAAAAAAACAGTAAACTGAGCCAAGATTACATACTGTATGATTCCATTTATATGACATTCTGGAAAAAGCAAAACTGAGACCAGATCAGTGGTTGCTGGGAGTTACGGGTGGGGGCAAGGTTTGACTACAAAGGGGCAATATGAGTTCACCTTTCTTGCCATGAAGAGACTGTTCTGTCCTCATTATGGTGGTAATTACACAAATCTATACATGTGTTAAAATATTGAATTTAACTGTGTATAAATCAATTTAACTATATATAAATGAATAAAATATATAAAAATGAAATCAAAACAAAAGTCACAGAACTCTGAGATCAGCTTTTGTTTCTTTTTCAGGTGAAACTAGTGAATATTCGTAATGATGACATTACAGATGGCAACCCCAAGCTGACCCTGGGCCTGATCTGGACCATTATTTTGCACTTCCAGGTAGGGTCTGTGAAGTTTAGGGTCCGTGTTGCTTGGTTTGGACATGACCTAGGAAGAACTAGAGGTTGCACTGCTTTACCCAGGCAAGCATACTGAGCCTTCCCTTTCTGTATTTGGCAGTAAATAAGGGTAAGAGTGGGAGTTGGAAATCAAGATAAGGATTGGCCTGGAGATAAAGCTGTTGCAGCCTAAACCTGGAACTTCCTAATCACTTTCATAATGACATGGGTGGGATTTTTTTACTTCTTTTGCTTGGCTCTGTCATTAGCAGTTTGGTTATTAGAAGCCTGCTCACCCGAGTCTAAACTGGCTCTTTAAGTACTCAGAGTATGAGGGGTGGGGAAAGATGTAGGTTGTGATGCCTTAAAAGGGTGGAATGAAGGTTTATAATCCCTGCTTTGATGTAAACTTGCCTCTAATGAACTTCAAACAAGCCTGGTTAATTGTAGCACTGTCTTAGTCATATAGGCTGCTGTAATGAAATGCCATCATAGATTGGGTGGTGTAAACAACAGACATTTATTTTTCATAGTCTGAAAGTTGGAAATCTGAGATCAGGGTGCCGTATGGTTGGGTTCTTGGTGAGAGCCCTCTTCTTGGTTATGTTCTCACATGACCTTTCCTTGGTGCATGCATGCAGAAAAGAAGATCCTGTGTTTCTTTATCTTTTTATAATGGCATTAATTCCATTATGGGGTTTCTGCTCTCATGACCTCATCTAACTATAATTATCTCCCAAATGCCCCATCTCTAAATATAATCACATTAGGGGTTAGGGCTTCATAGGAATTTTGAGGGGACACAAACATTCATTCCATAGCAAGCACCTTAGTAGCTGGATTGTATGTGTTTGTAAGCACAACCTTGTAGCATTAGTCACACCCAAGAGAAGTGGCATCCTGGTAGTGTTCACATAGTCACATGGCCTTCATAAGAAGGCTAACCCTTTTCAACTTAATATGGCCCTATCTTTATAAAAAGACTGCCTTGAGTCACTTTAGCACAACTAAGCAAAGCTATTTCTCAGACTGCTCTCCTATATTCAGACACTGTACAGGAAGGAGGCTAATAGATTAGAGGGAGCACTTGTTGGTATGGTGGGAAAAGGTTAATAATAATACGTCAAGGCACTGACTGATCCCAGGGGCTGAGACCACTATTATGTCTTATTTGGGGAGGTAGTGCCACCTGCTGGTTGGAGGCAGAAGAGCAGGTGTACTGGAATTCCTAAAAACCTGAGGCAATTCTGAGAGTTTAGGGATTATTTCTTGGGGCTCTAGTCTGGAGGTGGCACTGACAATTGACAGCGTGGGTAGGCTTAGGAAAGTGTGGAGGTAATATGTATTTTTATGGAACCACAACGTGGCCTCAGGTATGCATTGGATATAGGGATAACCAGGAACATGAACCTGACAGAGTGTTCCTTTGCAGGGTGGGAACTGGAACTTTGTTGAGCTTTCCTCAAGTACTAGAGTTATCCCTTTAGAACCCTTATGAACAGAGGAATTTTTTTTTTAAGAGAAACTGTATTTTTATCCCAAACCTGTCCTCACTGTTACTGCTCAATGTTAGTCTCATAGGTGTGAGGTAAAAAGAATCTGTCCACTGTGTCTCTACTTTCCCTGACTACAATTAAATCTCTTTTAAAAAGGAAACTCAGGGGCCAAGGAATCAAAACTGAATTGGTTAATTAAAACATTGGTGGGACAGAGGAGATGGGGTAATGGAGCTGTTCTTATTCTGAAGAGCTCCATCAGCAATAGTTTTCTCTGAAAATGTGTTATGGAAAATTTCAAACATTAACAAAAGTAGAGAAAATGGTATCAAGAACTGCCCTAGTTCAACAATTGTTAACTCACGGCCAATATTATTTCTTCTCTATCCTGATTCACTCCTCAAACCACAATAGGTTAATTCAAAAGAAATCCCATACTTCATATAATTTCACCTGGAAGTATTTCAGTGTGTATCTCTGGAAGATACTTTTTTAAAAGCAAACCACAATATTATAATGCCATAACAATTAATAATTTCTTAAAATCATGAAATATCTGGTCAGTGTTCAGATTTTCCCAATTATTTCATTTTAAAAAGTGGTTTATTTGGACCAGAATCCAAATAAGGTCCACATATTGCATTAAATTTCTCTTTCCACCTCCTTGCAATTTGTTGAAGATAACAGATCTTTTGTCCTCTAAGGTTTATAGTGATGTTGATGGCCTCTCTGGTGTGTCTTCTAACAGTGCCCTCTATCCCACTATTGTATTGCCTACAAACTGGTGGTTTAGAGCTAGACCTGATGCTCAGTCATATTCAGGTTCATTTTGGAGGTAAGGCAAAGATGGTAGGTAGTGTTGTGCTGTATACTTTATTGCTGCACATCAGGAGGCACATAATGTCTCTTGTCTCTCTTATCATGATGGTAAGATTGATTAGTGGAGTCAGGTATTATCAGCCTGGCTGATCCATTCTGCATTCCTTGTTAGCCCTTCGCGTAATAGTTTTAGCAGTTACTGATCATCATTGCTAGTTCTGTTATTTCATTAGAAGTTGCAAAATGGTGATACTCAAATAATATATTTCTTTATTATTTGACTGGAATACTACTATATAAAGAAGAACTTCACCTTATCAGTCACCTTGAAAAATAGCTCCTGTGAGAGATGTTAAGATAAAAAGGTGAATATTCCCAACTTTCCCTCTGTTTACAAGTTTTCAGAATAATTAGTTGGTTCCCTCAGAATCTCCATAGGTGACCAGTGGAAGTTTCTTTGTTGATTCCCACTCCCCCCACCCCCGGCCCAGAGTATAACATAGTTATACTGCCCCCCCCCACCCACCCTGCAGTATAACTATGGCTCATGAATTTTTTTAAACAGGCTTAAATGCATTTCAATCACATACAGCTATTATTCTTTTTAACACTCAAATAGCTTCACCATCGGCCTGTAAGAGCCTTTTAAAAGTTGAAACTCTTGAGTCCTTTGGCATGATCCCCAAAGTCTTTGGTAATTTCCTTTTTTTCTTATGAGATGAGATGAGATGAGATGAGATGAGATGAGATATTCCAGACTCTTTGGGGCATATAATTCCTATCCCAGACCTGAAATTAGCAATTTCTCCAAGGAGCTCTAATTCTTTATTGACAGTCTGAGTGCCACTAGTAGGTTATCGTTTCTGGGCTTTATCTCTAGACGGAGATGCCAATATTGTATTTTTCTCTTTAAAAAAAAATCATGAACTTATACTGATATTTCTAATACAAATTTAGAATTACAGACTTTTATATAACTTCTTTGGCTTTGTATAAGGGTGGCAAAGGTAGGTTTACAGTTGTGAGTACACAAAACAGTTAATCTATTGTAATAATTGTAACATGCATGTCTTTTTTCCATATGAACAAGTGTAAGTCTATTTTTGCTCACCCCTGTATTTGTATCCTTCTTTTTCTTAGGCTGAAAATCTTGACCCTGACCACAGTAACACATCACGTATTTTCTTTTCTTACACATAGGTACACATATGTCTGTAAAGTCACATATATTTTATGTAATATCAAAATAACAATACCAGTATTATTAACAATATGATTACTAAGAATTTTATGATTTCTTTGCAGGTCTTTTTGTCCTTAGTGTATATTTCCTAAGAATGTCCAAATAATTGTATTTTAAAATACAATTAAAGTTGTTAAGCCATTAATTCAATACATAATTAGGTTCTCATTTGTTTTTATTTGCTTTCAGTTCTTATGGATTTTTTTTTCTCGTTTCAATTTTATTTTTTATTATAGAGATTATATCTTTACAGTATTTCAAAGGGAAATTTTAAAAAGTGAATACAGGGTGTATTCAGAGAATTCTAGTGTCCATCTTTGCTTCCTCCATCCTGTTTCTTCCCTTTCCCTACAGTTAGTTAACTTTATAAAAACATCTTTTTGATTATCATTCTATTGTTTTATTTTAGGAAAATACATACTTTTAAAAAACTTTATTGAGGTATATTTTACACACTATAAAATTGACCCATTTTCATTGTATATTTCAGTGATTTTTATAAGTTGTACAACAGTCACCATAATCGAGTTGTAGAACATTTTCATCATCCCAGTATAATCCCTTTTTTCATTTACAGTTCTATGTTCCCATCCCCAGCCTCAAGCAACCAGTAATCTGTTTTCTGTCTCTTTAAATTTGCCTATTCTGGACATTTCACCTAAATGGAATCATATAATATGTGATATTTTGCATCTGGCTTCTTTCACTTAGTATAATATCTTTGAGGTTCATCCATGATATAGCATATATCAGAATTTCATACCTTTTTATTGCCAAGTAGTATTCTGTTCTATGGATATATCATATTTTATCTATTCAGCAGTTGATGGACATTTGTTTGGGGTTTTTTTAGGTATTATAAATAATGTTGATATGAATATTTGAGTTCTAGTCTTGTGTGGATGTATGTTTTCATTTCTCTTGGATATACGCCTAGGAGTGGAATTGCTGGTTTGTATGGTAGTTTTATGTATAACTTTTTAAGAAACTGCCTAACTGTCTTCCAAAGTGGCTTTACTGTTTTACATTCCCACCATTTTTAAAAATATTTTATTTATTTTTAGAGAGAGGGGAAGGGAGGGAAAAAGAGGGAGAGAAACATCGATGTGACAGAGAAACATCGATTGGTTGCTTCTCGTATACGCCCCAACCAGGGACCAGGGCCTGCAACCCAGGCCTGTGCCCCTACTGGAAATGGAACGGGCAACATTTTGGTTTGCTGGAGGACAGTCAGCCAACTGAGCCAAGCTCGTCAGAGCGCCCACCAAGTAATTTAGGCTGGTTCTTGTTTTTTTTTACATCTTCACCAACATTTGTTGTCTGTCCTTCACATTATAGCCATCCCAATGAGTGTGAAATGATAGCTGCTTGTGGTTTTAGTTTGCAGGAAAGTGTCTTCTTTAACTGAATTCCACAAACATTTATTGAGGACCACCTATGAGC